TAGGCAGTTGGGGTTAAGTGACTTGCCCAGGGTCACACAGCTAGTAAATGTCAAGTGTTTGGTCTGAGGCTGGATTTGAACTCAGGTCCTCCTGACTTCAGGGCAAGTGCGCTATCCACTGCGACACCTAGCTGCCCCTATTATTACTATTATTAATATTAATCATGGGCAGTGAATTTGGCTCAAAAATTAACTGAAGGAATGAAGTAGACCAGATTTTTTTTTTTTAAATAGAAGAGCCAGGATGATGGTTAGTCTTTTATTGGAGGGAAGAAAACATTACAGCACATCTCAAGTAAACCAGTCCAGGGGCTCAGTGGCTCAGTTGGTGGGGTACCAGATTGTAATGGGTTCTACCATTAGGGCAACACTTCGTCTTACCTTTCTGAAGCCAGAACCAGATGACTGCACTGCTGTCCTCTTCACAGATACAGCCCACTAATCACCTGTCAGTGATGGAAGAGACCAGGTTGGGTTCCTCTTTAGTCCCTGGAGCTGCCTTTGGGGCTAGTATATTGTATGAATCCGAATCATTCGTTGCAGCCATTATAATCTCTGTATCCAAGCCTCAAGTGATACCAAGCTGCCTCCTGAAAGTTTTTATTTTTAACATTAGTGTTCTTCAGATGATAATCTCTGAAGAATTAAATTAAGAAAAACACATGACAGGGTGGTGGTCTGGCAATTTTTATTATGCTCATTATACAGGTGAGAGAAACTAAGGCACTGAGGCGCCTTAGTAAAACTTAGATGCCTTGCCTTCAAGTCACATAGATAGTAAATGTTAGAACAGGATTCAAATACAAATATTCTCACTATTTCCAAAAGCGCCATATTAAAAAAAAAAGATGTATGTATGCATGTATCTGTGTGTATACATAGAATACAGGCACCTGCACTCACTATGTTTAACTGACAAAACAAAGTACATCTGAAAAATAGAACTTGGAAAACCATCTTAAATGTGCTTAGGGATGTTAACCACATTTTAGTATTTTTGTGTTTGTTGGGCCAGTATCATGACATGTTAAGGATGGTATCCAGATTGATGCATCTTAGAGGCTTGGGCATGACTAGATTTTATGATTTTCAAAGTGAATTCTAACTGTATATTTTTGCATGGATTTTCCACTTTTTGTATTAATTATCTTTTTTAGGTTTATTGAAGCCTTTTTTTCTGATTTCAGAGGCAATGATCCAGAGATTCATTAGCATTTCAGATTTGATTGGGAATGCAGCATTGATTTTAAGGGAACATTTCTGTGACCTCTTGATTCATTAGTAGGCTTTTTCAAATTTCCATCCTTTATTGACTTAATTGGAATAGCTTCAGAGTATGAGATAGGAGTGTGAAAGTCCCTCCTGAGCATGCCAAACTGACAAGCATTTGTTTGGAGAGAAGCATTTTCTATTTTTCTGAGTTATGAACCCTAAAATGTAGTGGATTGAGATCTGGCTGTACAGGCCTAGTAGGTTTAGGTCCAGTCCTTGACACCTATAGGCTGTGTAACCCTGGGAAAATCAGTGCCCTAGACAACTGACTTTGAGACTGCAAATTGTAGAACAGTTGCAAATCTGGATATTTCTTCACTTGGATTTCCCAAAACTGGAAGACGCCTTTGGTCCATAACTAAGAAAGTGAATTCTAATTAAATTAGAAAAAAAGAACAGCATTGGAACAGTTGATATGTTTCCCTGAAGTAAGGTGTATCCTCTTTGATGCCAAGTGAAAGGTTGAGGATTAGCTTCATTTTATGAATAGTATTTTGCCTGAAGTATCTTTAATCAAACCTGATTGGGAAGAGTGAATTGTGGGGAAGAGAGTAGAAAACTGACCACACTTTCTTGTACCTCTTTCTAGAATACACCTTTAAAGTTGTGTGTATTTAAGCAGACATGCCAACAAGGAACAAAGTAGGTTAAATTTGCCTTTTACCTCCTAATTTATTTCTGACCAGCCTCTAAAAATTATTAAAAGGCGGTGAAATCCTTTGACTTACTTATTCGCCAAACATTTTTGAGTGTGTTTTGTGAACAAGCCACTGTGAAGTAGTCCATATTTAATGGTTAGTCTTTTATTGGAGGGAAGAAAACATTACAGCACATTCTAAGTAAACCAGTCCAGGGGCTCAGTGGCTCAATAGGTGGGGTACCAGCTTGTAATGGGTTTCACCATTAGCGTAGCACTTTGTCTGGCCTTTCTGAAGCCAGAACCAGATGACTGCACTGCTGTCCTCTTCACAGATACAGCCCAGTGTAAACGCTATGTACAGCTCCCCCCAGCTTGATCTCAGTAGTGTTCTTATTTGGAACTCTCCAATGTGATGTAACCACCACCACCACCACCACCACCACCACAACTCACATTGATATAGCAAATGAAGGTTTGCAAAGTGCTTTATATCTATACCCTCTCATTTGAGTCACACAATACTCTTGTGGGGTAGGTGCAATTGTTATTCTCCTTTTACAGATAAGGAAATTGAGCCCGAGATAAATTAAGTGACTTGCCCTGGGTGACATAGAAAGTCTTGGAGGCAGGTTTTGAACTTAGGTTGTCTGGACTCCAAGTTTGCTGTGCTTTCAATTACAACACACTGCCTGTCCATTGTAAAGAGCCCTGGGCTTAGAGGGTCTTTGGAGTCTACTCACACCAACAGTGCCCCTGTTCTTCTGGACCTCTGCTCCCCTAAGAGCTAGCATTTATGTTGTCCCTTAAAGTTGGCAAAATAGTGTACAGGTTGCCTTGTTTGGTTTTCACAACAAATCCGTGAAAGTGTTGTTGTCGTCAGTCATAATCATCATCCTCATCAACATTCCCATTTTACAGATGAGAAGGCTGAGAGAGAGGTAAAGTAACCAGGGTTACACAGTTAGTACAAGTCAGAGACAGGATTTGAATTCATTTCATCTTAGCTCCAGTTCCTGAAATCTAACTGTTATGCTACCTAGATGCTTTGTGAGATCAAAAGGTCATGTCTTAAAGAAACTTTCTGTGTTCTCAAGCATCTAGTACAATATTACTACATGCAGTAGGCGATAAGCAACACAAATGTATTCATAATTTGTGATTAAAGAGAATCATTGTTTTATAGGCACTTGGAGTGCTGTTTAAAATAGGTCTATAGAGACCCCTTGTATAAACTTTTTATAAAAAAGTTAATAGCCCCTCAAAATTTTTCCTCTAGCCAGAATTTTTTTAAAGAAAAATTATTTTTAGTTTTCAACATTCACTTCCATAAGATTTTGAGTTACAGATTTTCTTCCCATCTATTCCCTCCCTCCACCCCAAGATGGCATGCAATTTGATATAAGCTCTACATATACATTCATATTAAATCAATTTTCACATTAGTCATGTTGTAAAGAAGAATTAGAACCAATGGGAGAAACCATAAGAGAGAAGAAACAAACAAAAAAAGAAGAAGAAAGAGAAAAATATACTTCGATCTGCATTCAAACTCCATAGTTCTTTTTCTGGATGTGGACAGCATTTTCCATCACGAGTCTTTTGGAGTTGTCTTAAATCCTTGTATTGCTAAGAAGAGCTAAGTCTATCAAAGTTAGTCATTGCACAATGTGGCTGTTGCTGTGTACAGTGTTCTCCTGGTTCTGCTTACTTCACTCAGCATCAGTCCATTCAAGTCTTTCCAGGTTTTTCTGAAGTCTGCCTGCTCATCATTTCTTATAGCACAATAGTATTCCATTACATTTCATATTCTACAACTTGTTCAACTATTCCCCAACAGATTAGCTAGAATCTTTGAAGTGAAATTTACCAGCATAAGAATGTATATCTAAAAGGTTCTAGTTTTGGCCATATGTCATCTCAGTCTTTAAGTATATATGAATGTCTAAGACACTAGAAATCAAATATTAGTCATAAAGTATAGCATTATAGATCTTGGAAGGGAGCTCAGAAAAGTGGCTGGTCTGGTCCCTTGTCTTCAGGAAGGAAAAGTATGATTCCCGTTTTGTAGCTGAGGCTATTCCGGTTAAGTAATTGCCAGTGGAGATAGAGTTGGGGGTGGAGGGGTGGAAATAAAATCTAAGTTTCCTGCCTCCTGGTGGAGTGGTATTCTCATTGCAGAAAAGGTAGTCTTTTTGCTTAGTAGGTAAATATTTGTGTTGCTCAAGTATTCAGATAGCAATTCAATACAAAATTCATCCTATAAGAAGTCTACTTTCATATTGAAAAGGACACTCTCATTTTGACAAAATAAGGCTACTCACGTAACATGGCATCCTTGGTATAGGAGCACAAAGTGATTTGAGGGCCTTTTAAGTTTCTGTACTGTGAATACCAGTGGCTTATGAAGTCATAGTGTAGCCATTATGGGGGGGACTAGAACCCTGTTACTCCCAAGATTCAGTGCCTATTACCACCCCTTCTTGCTTTCATGAATTACATTGGCCTTTTCTTGTGGGGAGCCCACTTCTGAACTTAGCTAGGCTGGTCCTGGGACCATAGACACAAGAGTCCACTCCTGAAGTTTTTCCTGCTAGGTTAGACCTGTCGGAGCATGCTTTTTACTAGTATGGCCTTAGAGGATCCAGGGTCATCTCCATGTTATGAAGAGGCATTGGAGAAGAACTTGAGTGGAGTAAATGAAATCATATATGTGTGTAATGGCAGCCATCAGAAGTCAACTTAGAGATACCATTTTTATCTCTGCTTTATTAATACTGGAATATTCCTCTGCTAAATGTGACATAGATGATTTCACCAGGTGAAATGAGAAGGGCTTTTCCTGTGACATAATTGTGCTATTATTTAAAAATATCGTAGAGTAAAATGTATCTTCTAACTTAATTTTTCCCCATTTCATTTTTTTTTTTTTTGGCCAGAGTTTGTATCTATCGCCATTAGAAGTCAGATCAAACTATGCTTTGTTTAGTTATATCTGAAGAAAATATGGCATGGAAGGTGGGGATAGAGACTAAGTATTTGTAAGTCATTCGTTAAGTCACTGGGATTTTTTTTTCTACACGTATTCCAGAATATTGGAAAGAAGATGACCTGTCAGGAGTTTATTACAAATCTTCAGGGTGTGAATGAAGGCAGTGATTTTCCCAGGGACCTGCTGAAGGTAAGCAAGCAGTGAAATATTGGTTTTTCTAAAAAGTAGGTTTACATTTGAGTTCACTGATCAATTTCTGAGTTTGAGATTGGTAGACTTAAGGATTCTTTAGCTACTTGCCTTCTGATTTAGATTTTTATAAACTATGTTAAGAGTGAATAGAAATTTGGCATCTCCTCAGGCCTCTTTTCCTCCAGAACATGTGTGGACTGTTCATTCCTGCAAAATAAACCTATGTAACAAATAAGATATCCTGGAAACCATTTCAATAATGACTTGTTAAGTAGATGCTATAAATTTGGCAGCTCAAACAGTTAATGGATGGCATTGAACTTTTGGGCTGTTTGCAATCAGACTGTTTCACAAAGCTTGGGAAAGGTTACAAAGGTATATTCACTATGGAAACAAAAACGCATTTGCAGATTATAATGGATACAGTTCTGGCTTTATTCAGGCTTTAGTCACATGTCCTTGAGTTGTCTCTGCAAATCGATTAAATTAAATCTGAATAATTACAGAATGCCTGCAGTATTCGCAGTCTGGCTTTATTTTTGGCCTCATTCCTCCCCATCATCAGATAGTTATCATAAAGACAACAGAGTTGAGATTAGGATTCACAACACATTCTTCAGTAAGATAAATGAGATGGTGTGCTTTTAATCAAATGCAAGATTGTTAGCTAGAGGAAATGTGAATCTGGGGGTGAGGTGGGATGGGGAGAGTCATGTAGGGTCTGATTATGGTATACAGTAGTTCTGAACTTGGAGTCAAGAAGACCCGAGTTCAAATCCTGCCACAGACACCCACTAGCTGTATGACCCTGGGCAAATTATTTAACCTGTCTGCCTCAGTTTCCTCATTTGTAAAATGGGGATAATTGCACCTACCTCCCAGGGTTGTTGTGAGGATCAAATGAGATGAGGAAGGGGCAGCTAGGTGGAGCGGTGATAGAGCACTGGTCCTGGAGTCAGGAGGACCCGAGTTCAAATTTGGCCTCAGACACATAACACACATTAGCTGTGTGACTCTGGGCAAATCACTTAACCCCAATTGCCTCACAAAACAAACAAAAAAAATGAGAAGGTGAATATGAAGCACTATGCAAACTTAAAGTGCTATATAAGTGCTAACTATTATTATCTCTCATTTGAGTTTTCTGACCTAGTGTTCACCTAGATTTCTTATGGAATCAAGTATTGGGAATAGGTTTTTGCCATGTAAAGAGCAAATTTGGCTGACTCGGTGATGCTGCAGTATGGAAATGTGCTGACCGAAGGAAAAATGTCTTATCTACCATGCCCTAGACAATTGTTCTTAAATTACAAGTGAAGATAGACTAAAGTGCCTTCAGTTTGAGGAAGAAGTAATAAGAATTAAAGGAGGGAGAAAGACAACGCTGTTATAATATAAACTAGTACTAAACTTTTGTTGAATTTAGTAGCTCATTTAAAAATGGTGATGCTAGGCAAAATGAAAAGAGGAAAAAATCTTTTCAATAAGCAAGCAAAGATGCCATTTATTTATTTATTTATTTTGAAGACCAGCATAGCTATTGCCTCCATTGACTTTGAGTAGTTAGACTTTGTTTCTGTAAGGCAGCTTTATGGGAGATAAAAGGTGCCCCACTGTGGCAATAACTGTGTTCAGCACAATTCACTGATCTCATACAAGAGGACACAAGTTAACAAGGTTTTTTTGCAGTCTGATGGTGTTAGCCTGGAAAATAATGGATTCTTTGAAAAGGGAGTGTTTGCCAGGCTTTTATCCAGTAATATCTGAAATGAAAATTGACAAGATAATTTTCACCATGTAGCTTATAGGTTGCTGAGTTACTGAGTTTAGATGGTTTACATTACTGTAGTTATATAATTGAGGAGTCTCAGTCTTGGATGCAGTGGTCAGGTGAGAAAACACAGCCCAGGTTTCTGCCAGAGAGTGTCACACAACTCTGGGAAACACCTCCCTCCACTTATTTGCTAGAAAAGAATTTGCCTGATGATTTTTTATTTTTTCAGTTGTGTAATTGGAAATATGTTTACAAATCTCTGGGGGGAAAAAACTAACCCCTCCCAAACAACAGCATATTATACCGTGCCTTATTTACTGTGGAGAGATTGGTTACTCATTGGTATTCCAGAAACGACTGTGGAGTTTAGAATGGAAATTGTCAAGTAGAAGAATATTGACCTTTTTTTCTCTCCTGAAGGTGATAGTCTTCCATTTTGATAGGAATTGAGATTTGCCTGCATGCTGCAACATGAGCAGGGTTTCATGAGAGCCATTTGTTTTCATTATGCTATTTTCTTTGTATAGCTAGTCTTCTTGGTTTTCTTTTATCTTTTTCCTGTTAGTTTCTGGATTTCCTGCTGAGATAAATTACAATTAAAAAAAAAAGAAGTGTGTGTATATACACACTCACACATACATGCACATACAATTTACACCTGTGTAAAATGTGTGTCTATATGTATACACCCACCTGTGTGATTAGATGTATGTGTGCATGCATATGATGCATACATGTAAAATGTGTATATATGTATGTGTGTATGTATATATACACGCATATATCAAGATGGATGTCTATATGTACACATCCACTTGTGTGATTAGATTTATATATGTGTGCATATGTGACACACGTAAAGTGTGTGTGTGTGTATATGTATATGTATACATATCCAGGTGGATATCTGTGCACACATCCACCTGTGTGATTAGATATTATGTACATGCATATACTATATACATGTAAAATGTATATAAACATATCCAGATGGATGTCTATGCGCTCAATCCACTTGTGTGATTTTTTATATATATATATATGTACATGCATATACTATATACATGTAAAATGTACATATACGTATCCAGATGGATGTCTATGTGCACAATCCACTTGTGTGATTATATATATGTGTGTACATGCATATACTGTATACATGTAAAATGTATATATACATATCCAGATGGATGTCTATGTGCACAATCCACTTGTGTGGTTATATATATATATGTACATGCATATACTGTATACATGTAAAATGTACATATACATGTCCAGATGGATGTCTATGTGCACAATCCACTTGTGTGATTAGATGTGTGTGCAAGTATATAGATATACCCACATCTAATCACACAGATGGGTAAATATATACCAACATTCCATGTGTGTTTTAGGTTCTATCCTGTAAGTTTTGAAATAATTTACAAAATTTACATGAAGTAGACCTGGAATTTTAAATGTAAGTAACAGTTCAAATTCTTTTGCTTTTTTTCTCTTCTCTTTTCACTCTCTGCCGTCTTTCATTATGCTGATGCCAACTCCACTTGCAGGCAGAGTGTTTACAGAGTTAAAAGGGCAGATTTGCTGAAATATTAATTGGAGAACAAGCACAAATGCAAAACTGGAACAGACCCTACCATGAGCTTACTTTCTAGTAGGATTCAGCACGTGCAGGGGAGTAGGGACAAAGGCTCTTTGGTTTGGAGCATCCCTTTTTGAAGAGATTAAACGGAGCCTTGGGGTAGTGGGTCTTCGCAGCCTTGGGCTGCAGTCCAATTGTCCCCTTCTACCCTCAAGAGAGAGGCCCAGGCACCAATTTAGGTTCAGATATTATAGTGACTAGTAATGTTCTTTCTCCCCCCACCCCAGCCTTAATCTGTGTTGAGCCCTCTAAAAACGTCCTCAGTTTCTTCCTAATTATCTCTTAAGTAATGAAGAATCTCCTTTAGATAGCTATCTGTGATTTTTCTAATAACCCTAGGGGGTCAGCAACCCCTTGCTTATCCTGTGGTGAGGGGCTGGTAGGGGAAGCTGCATTCTATAGACCCTTCTGCCTTCATTCTCCCCGAGGTATAGCATTCATTTTGTGGAGTGAGGGGTAGGAGAGGGAGAAAAGTCCCATGGTGAGTGTATACCACTTTCATTGTGTTCATGTGTAAGAGGCCAGAAAAACTCCTATGAAAATGATTCTGTTCCTATGAGTATTCAGACATAAGAATGAATTTCTAGCATTCCCCCTTTCCATTTCCCAATGGGGTTAGTTGAAATTGAAGGGCTTTGGAATTGGCTTAATGTTTCCTGTCCTGAAGCCAGGTTTTTATTGTATGTGTTGTCCTTATTACTTTTAGGTTCCCTAGTAACATTTAAAGTAAGATTTGAATTTGTCTGTTGCTATGGGTAGCCAGGGAGTTAGGAATATGTATTGGGGGCTGGCTCTTCTGCAGGGCATGGTATAGTAGGTTAGGTACAGGAGAGAGATACAGAGGAAATAAAAACAAACATTTGGGAGAGAAAAGAAGGGGGTATTTTTTTCCCTATAAAATGCACAACTGTTCTGTAGCTTTCCTTGTGATTGAGCTGCAAATTGAATTTCACTAGTTTAACTTAGTTAACATTGATGTATAGGAGCAGTAATTTATTAATCTTAATTCAAAGGCCACGGTTTTCTCTTTGTAAATCATTCAACGGTTTTAAATCTTGCAATACTTAAAGGTACATTAGGGATTTTCTTTGAGTAGTGAAGAACTCACTTCAAAGTCTTAAAGTACAAATATCCAGAGAATTGTATGCTTTCAAATAAGCTTAGGTTAGCACCAAAGGGATAGAAGATAAATTGAGTCATTTTTTTAAAAAATCACTGTTTTAAAGGAATGTATTTTAAATACTTCCTTTGGACTTTCTTTCTACCTTTTAACAACTTATGTAATGCTTCTTCAGTCGATTCTTCCTCTGTATCGCCCACAGCACTCCTCCACTCACCTCCACGGCCCCCAGTGCTATCTTTCTCCTCCCTCCCCCCAGCTCAGGTATAACCCGCACTGAGTCTGGCAGGCCAGGTGCTAGGCCTCACAACTCTTTCTGTTCCTAGGCTGTAAAGCTTACCCATTCCACAATCCTAAAAGTGGACAATTCCAAAGATTCCTCCTGAGCAGGGGGATAAGACCAGAGTTGGTCCGAGAGAGGTCTTGATCACCGTGCCAGCAGTTTAGTCAGTCAG